CAGGCATACCAGTCTCGGTTGCCTGTGGTGGTGGGCAAATTGACACGTATTGTAGAATACATAGGCTATTATGACAATGGGTTTGGGTGTGAGAAGGGGCGGGCAAAGTTTAGTGCAACTCGGCGTGGGCAAAGGTCTCCCGGGCAACATTCTCTCACCTTCACCAATGCCGTTGCATACTGTGCAGGCCTCCCAAGAACGGTTGGGTGTTGTAGGAGGGCTTCCCGAATGCTGGCTCGGCGCAAGATGATGTCGTCGAACTGCCTGTTGTTGGACATCCGAAACGGTTGCTTGCATGTGCTCGAGTGAGCGTGCTCCCAGACGCTTATGCAGTACTCTCGTGGATGGCCAGCGCGGCGGATGGCATCTGGAAAGTGTGTGAGTAAGTGTACTTTCACCAGTTTCCAGCCCATCCCTCCACGTGGGAGCTGCCACGTCAGCAACCGCACTAGCCTGAAGGGTGGAGTTGGGGATGGGTGAGTCACGGAGGTTAGTAGCAGGTGGGGTGGGATTTGGGAAGATGCAAGCATCGAACGAGGTGTTTCTGTTGTGGATGTTCCTCGTCGCTAGCAACAACAGCTTAGCATGGAAAGTGCTTTAGCATGGTAGAAGTATGGTACATGCGTTATGTCGTGGCTATTGCTATCAAGGGACGTACTCTGCGGTGTCTGCATCGTACTGGTGCAGCATGGCTTCGTCATAATACTCCGTACAGAAGTAGGTGTCGAACCACCTTAGGAAGAATCGAAGAACCTGCATCTCGTTGGGCTCGAGGAGTCCTTCAACGATGTATATGATAATCTGCCATTAGGGTGGGCGATTCAAATGGACGTGACATCACTAGATCACGCATGGGGCATTGTGGAATGAGTATGGGGGGGCAGCCATGGTGCAAGAGCTGGAACAAATGGGCACCTCAGGATTGTGATCAGAGCGATATGGCTTCCATCATCATGCCCGCGTCACGGATGGGTTAGCCAGACGATGAGTCGATGGATGCATGTGGGACAATTCATGCGCTCGCGAGTGTGCTCGCGAAATAGCATCGGATATGGGTGAGCAGAGGTTGGTGACACTATTAGATCACGCATACGCAATTGTGTAATGAGTGTGAGAAGGCAGCTATGGGACATTAGAGTGGAAAAATATGTGAACGAAGGTAGTGCTTAGGGCGAGATGGCGTGCACCTACATAGACGAGCGGGCGATAGGTCTGCCGAATGGGGAGGCTAGGGTGTCATACTAGTGGTTACAGATACGTCGACTGCTGGTCCGTCAAATGAGAGAGTGTGCGTGCGTGTGGTCATGGGTATGGTGGCACGAATGGGTGAGCAGAGGTTGGTGACACTATTAGATCACGCATACGCAATTGTGTAATGAGTGTGAGAAGGCAGCTATGGGACATTAGAGTGGAAAAATATGTGAACGAAGGTAGTGCTTAGGGCGAGATGGCGTGCAACTACATAGACGAGCGGGCGATAGGTCTGCCGAATGGGGAGGCTAGGGTGTCATACTAGTGGTTACAGATACGTCGACTGCTGGTCCGTCAAATGAGAGTGTGCGTGCGTGTGGTCATGGGTATGGTGGCACGAATGGTGGGACGAATGGTGGGTCGAAATCTTAGTTCGCACATGGTGCAATGTGGAATGAGGATGGGTAGGCTGCTATGGGCCATTTGAGGGGACCAGTATGCGAATGAGGGATAAGAATGCTGTGTACTGAATACATGTCAGATATGGACAAGCACCTACACGGGTGGATATCGGGGAATGTCACATCAAGGCAGGCTAGGAAACGTTGCATCGAGAATGGCTGAAGGGGTGAGATTTGAGGGTGTGCAAATATTGACTACGTTAACCTACGGTATGCATGCTACGCGGAGAAGTGGTCCTTACCTGCATCATGCCTGCGTGCTCGGCTGCCGAGTAGTTTGCACCGCCGCTAAAGTAACGGCCTGGTGGGGGTAGTCGAATGCCAGCGGCAACCGCATCGCGATACGCTGCTCCATGCCTCCTGGAAGAGCGTTAGGGAAGCACTGCATAAACGCTTGATAGAAGACCAGAATGTTACGAATACAAGGGCAAGATGTCCTGCATACTTACTCGTTGAGCACTTTCAGGAATTCCTTGTGTGTGCGATACTCTTTTCGCTTGGTGGTGACGATGTACTCGAGGATGTACAACCAGATCCCAAGGAAGATCACATGCAATATGTCAGGCATGGGGCACTTGTACGGATTCCCCCATTTGGATTGACGAACTGATTCGAGACCTAAGTCCCAGAGAAAGCACTGTGGACATGGGGGTTTTTGTATACGCAGGGTGGATAGAGTTTGGCTCATGTGTGAGCGACACGCAACGCGAGATGCATGGGCATGCGTTGTGCTCAAGATTACATGCACCAATAAAAGCATACTCCAAAAACTTACTAACCTTGATCTGATGTGTGGAGTTTTCGGCTGAAGCCGCGTTGCTTGATGCCACTCTTTTCTGCAAATCCACGCTTCGCCAGTCGTTGTTCCTAGGATCCATGTTATCCAAGGATAATTGGGGAACATAGCACAACGAGCATGGCTTCCGCGAGCCATGCTGCATCGTGCAAGTCACCTTGCACGTCTCGGGATAATCGGCAACATACGACATGATCTTGGGCCACACCGTTAACACGTTGCCATTTGGGTCAGTAAGGGCGACGGACCTGCTCAAGCAAGATTTATAGTGTGATGGACCAGTTTAATAGTTCTCTGTCAGCACACCTCGTGCGTATCGTGCACCAACACCCATGGCATCCATCTGAGGCAATTTGCAATAGGCCTCCAATATTATGCTGCACAAAACAATCGCTTACTCCTTGGCAGCAACGTCCATGGATTGCATGACGACTTCGCAACACTTTTGAAAGAGCTCGGTCTTCTGCCAAGGTTCCATGTCATGGTGAGGATGTGGGATGAGGGCGAAAAACGCGCGCCCATGATCCTTCCAGCGAAGACCCTCTGCGATGTTGTAGCATGTTAGATACATCGGCCACGCCTTGCACCGCTCATTGCCGCTAAGTTGCGTCTCATCACTGGCAAGGATTATCGGGCAAACGCACTCCTGCTCACCATTGCCCTTCTGCGCAGTACATATAGGGAGGACACGACGGATTGGGGAAAGTGTGTAGGTTTTATGGTGGTTGAAGTGGCATGCGCGCACGACCTCGATTCGAATGTGTACCTGGGCCTCAATCCAAAAGTCGGCAGTATCCGCAGTAGTGTAGCGACGCACCCCATCCACAAACAAAGGTGCCGCTCGAAGCGTGAAACCCGGCCTGTTCTTAGGGTCAGCCCACATTCTCTCCAATGCCTGTCCCATGCAAATCAGGGCATGTACGATACAAGGTTGGTTAGAAATGAAACATAGTACTCAGAATCCAGCATGGTACAAGGAGCTTGACACATGAAATGAATATGATACGTATTGACACCCACATCCTCATATGTGAACCAACCCAAGCATTCTCCAGTACCTTCAGTGGATCCAGGTACTTGAGCTTGAACGGAGTTGGCCAGCCGGTTACATAAATGTCTTCCTTTTTGAATAAAGCCTTTTCCACCCCCAAAACCTCCAAACCAAACCGGTCCACGGCCGATTTGGTCGACCAATGTGCCAGTTCGATTGGCGTAAAATCCTTATGCTTCACAAGCTTCAGGAATTCAGCCACATCGTGGCTACTAAGACCCGTCCCCCTGTTACACTGAGTCAAGAACCTAAAGACTTCGAATTTGGTGTCCAACGGCTGCTCTACATTTTCTGGTACTTCAGCAAAAATAGCCTCACTACTCGCCCTCCCGTCGAAAGGCCCTCGAGCAGAGATGTGAGGAACCGCGTCAATTGGCGCCACGTCTTCAGCGGCGGGTGGGGCATGGGAAGGGAGCATGCGCGGCAGCGCCTCATACGGCTGCACCATGACGCTAGGCCGGTGCAGCCTACGCGCCGCATTTGCTGCTTGAATGGCCCGACATTGCTCGCCTCGCTGGTGGTTCACAAGTTGCGTCTCGGATACGCAGCGGTATGAGCAATGGCCACATACATTCATGGTGGCCTGCCACAAACGACCGCGAACAACGGGATGAGATGGATGACAACACAGATGTTCAGTTAAAACAGCAAGGCGGTGATATAACAATAAACGACCCAGCACACAAACAAGCCGTGGTGTGTAAAAGTACATTGCACAATGGTGGTCTTGATAATGCGGGGTGGCAAGACTGACCGGCCATGGGAGCAGGCTAGGGGGTGGGGAGAGAGCATACAGGGGAAAAGAGCCGCAGGGCAGGCAGTCGTTGGAGGCTAGGGGGGAGAGGTCAGAGTGCCAACTATGGCAGAGCGCGGGCGGACCGCCAACCGAGAACAGCTGTACAGCTGCATTTTATGGTGGGGGGAGAGGGAGAGGCAGAGAGGAGACGGGCATGAGGGGGATGCGCGTGTTAAAATCATCCAGTGGGGGGCGGAAGTGGATATGCCCTACAGATCTGAGCCAAAGGAGAGTGTGTCAGGGTTGCATTGTTCATAGGCAGGAGAGGGGGGCACAGCCAGGAGGGGTGGGTGCATATTGAGAGTTCCCGACAATGAGAGATCCAAAGTGAGAGACACCGAAAGCGAAAAAACCATAGCGAGAGATCCGAGAGTGTGAGATCCATAGTGAGAGATCCCAATAGTGACATATCCATACTGAGAGATCCCGTAACTAAGATACCCTGATAGCGGGAGATATCACGACAGTGGGAGTGATCCCGAGAGTGAGAGAGATCCCGATAGAGAAGGAGAGAGATAGAGAGAGAGAGAGATAGAGAGAGAAAAATCGGCGGTGGCAAAGAAGGTAATGCACAGCTACCACCTGCTCCGTCACCCTCCAGCGGCAGGTGGCAATCACCCTCCGAGCTAAAGTGGGCCAGGCGACAGGCCAGTCTTTCAGCCATGACCGCCCCCTAGACGAACCCCTTACCTGGGGAGAACTAGAAGCCACCATTGAATCTACCTGCGACAGGTGGAACGGGCAGCAGTAGGATGCCCTAGGACTTACATCGCCCTGTTTGTACCCCTGTACCCTTTATAATCATAATAAAGGACCGCTTGAGAGGGAGAGAGAGAGAGAGAGAGAGAGAGAGAGAGAGAGAGAGAGAGAGAGAGAGAGAGAGAGAGAGAGAGAGAGAGAGAGAGAGCGAGAGCGAGAGAGAGAGAGAGAGAGAGAGAGAGAGAGAGAGAGAGAGAGAGAGAGAGAGAGAGAGAGAGAGAGAGAGAGCGAGAGAGAGATAGATAGATATAGAGAGATAGATAGATAGATAGAGAGAGAGAGAGAGATAGAGAGAGAGAGAGAGAGAGAGAGAGAGAGAGAGAGAGAGAGAGAGAGAGAGAGAGAAAAAGAAATAGAGAGAGGGAGGGAGAGAGAGAGAGCCCGACCTGAGAGTTGGAGCATGAGAGAGACGTACGGTTAGGTGAGAGTGAGGGTGAGGGGTGCTTACCACCAAGTAGACACTGGTCGCCGAGCACTCGAATTTCCCGGTGTGGTGCACCGCCGTCATTGCAGGGGTGACGCGTGCGGATCGGTAGGAGCGGATATGGCGGTGTCAGTGGGAGGTATTAACCGGTGCCCAGGCGGGGAGAGCTATGATCCAGCACAGGCCTTGAAAAGAATGACGGGTGGAGAGGGAGGGATGAGGGTGAGGGGTGGCAGGGAGATAGGAAGATGCTAACAGACATACCGGGCGCGCCAGAGGGAGGATGGAGCAGGAGGGGATGATGGATGGCGCGTGTCAGAACGTATGTAAGCAATAAATAGACATTGATGGTACTAACTTAAACAGATATAGAAGTGGGAAGAGGGATGAAAAACACTAGGAGAGTAACGGCAACAACCCGCTGAATGCAAGCGGTCTTCATATATGGAACAGCGGGTTTCGAAAGCGAGAGAGGTTGCGGGCGTCAGGGGGGGAAGACTGAGAGCGAGTGAGCATGGGTATGCTGACGGGCGCGCACCGACAAAGATCATGGCGGCGTGGTCGGTGAGCAAAGCCTTCATGGGAGATCTCGTCGAGGGAGGTCCCTAGGAGAGAGATCCTGGGAGGGCCAGAGTGATAGTGTATGGAGGATAATTGAGCAGGGCGAGGGTGAGGGGGCGAGAGGCTAGGGTGGGCGCGGAGTAGACGGAGGGCGGAAGATAACGGGCGAGCACACATTGGATGAACGATCCTGGAAAGGTACCAATGTAGCCTCAAAGGTGCAACGGCGGACAGAGATACGGTCGTCTGCATTTGGCGTGAACCAGCGTTCAGAAAACGCATGGCTCACATACGGCGAAACACGGGGGAGGGCAGGACGCCAAGGAACAAGATACTACGTGGCGCACCGTGATGCATTCGGACCGTAGGGGGCGATAGCGGAAGGAGCGTAGTTGAATGCGCACACAAGCCTCTCTCACCTGGTCTGAGTCTGGGAGAGGAGATTACCACATGACGAATTTCCAGAGGCTTAACTTGCGCTCAAACTTACAGGTAGGAGTGGGATCAAGCAGGCATGGCGGGCGTGGCGACCATCTGATGAGGGCGCTGGGATGGAGTGTGAGGACTACGTGCTGCACTGAACAGCCCTCCACGTCCTATGGCGAGCTGGGTGTTTGCTCATCGCAGTGCTCATTTTCAGAGTGGTGGTTTCCACCGAAATGTGGAACTGTGGAAAGCTGGGATGGATCGTCCCTTGGACATCATACAACAAGGCTGTCAGGTGGACACAACAATCAGGTTGTGCCTGACGTCAGATAGGGCACAACAAGACAAAATAATGCTGCTGCTGATGCTGCCGATGTGCTGCAGCTGCTGTTGCTGCATGCTCGCCGTGGGGTGCAACAGACAGCACATGCATGCCATTTGTCTGGCTGAATCCACCTGGGGATCTAGACAGCAGGGGCGGAGTGACTGCATAGGGCCATGCCTCCCAAAATAGTGCGTGACCAAGCACGTTCTGGAGTCTATTCAGCCTCTGACCAACAGGCTCTGGAAATCGTGAAGCTCGGCGTTCGAGCTGTCAGACGTGCGCCAGATCATGGGCGGTTGGATCTCGAGTCGCTCCTATCCAGGTAAGTTTTACTCCCACGTAGATCTCGCCTAGCCCATCTGTGCAGTCGCCTGCCCATATACTCTCCACAGAGCGACTGATCTAAAAGCAACCCGCATGTTTGGGTTCAAACAACAAAAACCTTGTACAAGATGTGTTTGTGTACGTGGGTAAAAAAACACAGACCGGGCCTTTCAATTCTGTTGTCGAGTGTTCTTCTGTCGATCGTTTGTTTCTGTCGTGCATGTTGCTCAACGAAGTTGTGTTTCCGGTTACCAGCGCTCAGCAAATTGTGATGGTTAGAAAAGAAACCCTTCAATCGAAGAGCCACACAATTCACGCAATTGCGACGGTTACAAAGGAAACCCTACATTTGTAGGGCTATACAATACAGACAGTTGTTTGGGAGTCAGTGCGCTCGCCAACTAGAGTAAGTAACTACCTGCCCTGCACCATTTTAACAGACTCGAAGATTTAGAAAACTGATTGATTTTAGCCTTGCTACTGCTAATATATCGGCAAATTACTGTCGACAGGAAATTTTGTTGCCGGCAAGAACCGACTGTCATAACCAACAACAGACGGTGCTCCTGCCCTAGGCTGACGGATTCGTTACGCGAAACAACCAGGATGAATGCATGGTACTGTATGATCTGAGCCCCCGATAATTTGTGGCTGAGGTTCCGAATCCCGTGTGTGTCAGAACGGCCAACCAATGCGAAGTGCTCGAAACAAAACACAGTGAGACGCTGGGACAGCCCTGAGTTGCTGATCGTGACATTATATCGCTCTGTATCTTACAGTACCACACCCCGCCCGCGTGTTACTTTTGCCACACCACGATGCACCATGCATTTTTGCACCCAGGACGCAAACCATATGTCACCCTTCGCGCTAACACCCACGTCCTGGCAGTATCCTTCGCTCCCATTCACAGTATGGGCCCTGTATTACTGCACTGTCGTCGCCAGCGTTCGAGTATTTAGTTTAAGAAGCTCCCTATCTCCCTCGGAATGGTGCCTCCCGTTGCGCCTAACTCGGCTGACGAGAACAGGCCCACTCTCGACGATGGCGACGTCACTGGCCTTTGGGCCTCCATCACAATCCGCAGCCGAAACCACATGACTGAGGCCGACGTGGCCGAGATAGTTGAATTCTTCGGTATCGTCGGGCCCGATATCGTTGCCTCCATGAGGCGCCTAGAAGTCAGGTTCCCAGGCCTCATTGCGGCGGCGGAGCAGCGCACCGGGGCACGAGATGTGCGAGTCCAGCGCGGACAAACGCACGACGACGCATTCAACCGCCGCCGTCAGCTCCTTCGCGCAACAAGGGTACGTGGTACGAGGTGCTCCCGTATCATCGCGTATCGATGCCGCGATATTGCATTAACCCCTCCGCGCCCATTCCGCGGCCACTGTTGAACGTCCCTCCATTCTCTCCACAATAGCCCGCCATCAGGGTTCGTATGCTGCGGTCTCCTCCTCCACCGTCGTCATATTACGGGGGGGTGGAGCGTGTGTGGCAAGGTGCGACACACAACTGGCCGCACAGGTCGTGGTACGACAACGACGTAAGCACACGTCGCATGTTCCTCCATCGAGAGAGTGAGATCCTGAAAGAGAGTGAGATCCCTAGCGTGAGTGAGAAACAGAGAGTGAGAGTGTGAGGGCCTTGGTCAGAGTGAGATCCGCGAGAGACAGAGAGATCCCCAGAGAGAGCGAGATCCTGAGAGAGAATGAGAGAGAGAGATAGAGAGATGGAGTTTGAGATAGAGAGAAAGAATGTGAAAGAGAAAGGGACTGAGAGAAAGAGCGAGAGTGAGAGAGAGAGAGCGAGGGTTAGAGAGCGAAAGAGCCGAGGGAAGGGATGGAGAGGGGGAGAGATCCCAAAGAGAGCGAGATGGATCCTGAGATTGAGTGGGATCCCGAGAGTGTGAGGGTGAGGGCCTTAGACATAGTGAGAAACCGAGAGAGGGGGAGAAAGATAAACTGAGAGAGAGTGCGAGAGAGTGAGGGAGAGAGAGAGGAAGCTAGAGAGATAATGAGAGGGAGAGTGAGAGAGAGAGAAAGAGAGGGGGACAGAGAGAGAGAGAGGGAGAGAGAGAGAGAGGGAGAGGGAGAGAGGGAGAGATAGAGTGGGAGAGATAGAGTGAGAGGAAAAAAGAGCTAGAGAGAGCGAGAGAGGGAGATAGAGAGAGAGTGAGAGAGTGAGAGAGAGAGAGAGAGAGAGAGAGAGAGAGAGAGAGAGAGAGAGAGAGGGAGAGAGAGAGAGAAAGAGCGAAATGAAGAGAAAGAGAGAGAGAGAGAGAGAGAGAGAGAGAGAGAGAGAGAGAGAGAGAGAGAGAGAGAGAGAGAGAGAGATAGAGTGAGAGAAATAGAGAGATAGAGAGAGAGCTGTTGATAGACAGAGAGAGAGAGGGAGAGAGAGAGGGAGATAGAGTGAGTGAGAGAGAGAGTGAGACAGAAACAAAAAACCACTTAGGGAATGAGAGAGAGAGGGAGAGAGAGCGAGAGAGAGCGGTTGATAGACAGAGTGAGGGAGAGAGAGAGGGAGATAGAGGGAGTGAGAGAGAGAGAGAAAAACTTAGATCCACTTTTGCAATGTGAGGGAGAGGGAGTGAGAGAGGGAGAGAGAGAGAATGAGAGAGAAGAGAGAGATAGAGAGAGTGAGAGAGAGAGAGAGAGAGAGAGAGAGAGAGAGAGAGAGAGAGAGAGAGAGAGAGAGATAGAGTGAGAGAAATAGAGAGATAGAGAGAGAGCGGTTGATAGACAGAGAGATGGAGAGAGAGCGGGAGAGAGAGTGAGTGAGAGAAAGAGTGAGACAGAAACAAAAATCCAATAAGGGAATGTGAGAAAGAGGGAGAGAGAGAGAGGGTGAGAGAGGGAGAGGGAGAGAGGGAGAGATAGGGAGAGATATAAAGAGAGAGAGAGAGATAGAGGGAGAGATAGAGATGGAGAGATACAGAGAGAGATAAAGAGAGAGAGAGCGAGAGAGAGATAGAGAGAGAGAGAGAGAGAGAGAGAGAGAGAGAGAGAGAGAGAGAGAGAGAGAGAGAGAGAGAGAGAGAGAGAGAGAGAGAGAGCGAGAGAGGGAGAGAGCGAGAGGGAGAGGGAGAGATAGAGCGAAGGAGAGAGAGAGAGAGAGAGAGAGAGAGAGAGAGAGAGAGAGAGAGAGAGAGAGAGAGAGAGAGAGAGAGAGAGCGAGAGAGAGAGAGAGAGAGAGAGAGAGAGAGAGAGAGAGAGAGAGAGAGAGAGAGAGAGAGAGAGAGAGAGAGAATAGGAGAGATACAGAGAGAGAGCGGTTGATAGACAGGGGGAGGGAGAGAGAGAGGGAGATAGAGTGAGTGAGAGAGAGAGTGAGACAGAAACAAAAAACCACTTAGGGAATGAGAGAGAGAGGGAGAGAGAGCGAGAGAGAGCGGTTGATAGACAGAGTGAGGGAGAGAGAGAGGGAGATAGAGGGAGTGAGAGAGAGAGAGAGAGAAACTTAGATCCACTTTTGCATTGTGAGGGAGAGGGAGTGAGAGAGGGAGAGAGAGAGAATGAGAGAGAAGAGAGAGATAGAGAGAGAGAGAGCGAGAATGGGAGAAGGAGAGAGAGGGGGGTTGGCAAACCGCCTGATTCAGTTCTTTGGTGATTGCATGCACGCTGTCTCTAACTATGGGCTGTTACCTGTCCCTGTGTCTACAGGCGGATGGCGTGGCGTCGACGCCAGGAGAGGCTCGACTGCGAGACCTGCATCCGATATTCATATCATTAGCAAATGGGTGTCAGTAGCAACCTGTCGTGCCTGTCGTGAAGCTCCCTGTTTTTAAAAAAGCATAGTACCTCCTATACTCGACAAAGGCGGTAGCCGTGTGTGTGCATTTGGGGAGCTTGCGAAAACTGATTTGCCCGTGCTGGAAACTAGACGGTGCCTCTGTCACATTTGTGTATAAAACGTGCCATCTGTGGCAGGCCTCTTTCCAAGGCCTCGCACAGGGGATGGCAAGGGCAGCCAGCAGGACCCGTTCCACAGGCTTTGGGTGTGCGATAGCCAGGCTCATGCAGGCTGCATCTCTACCACAAACACGACACGGAGGGCTTCACCGGGGCAGCCCACATTGTGAAGACCCCTGTCACTATCCGTATTTCCAGCATTGTCCTGCTTACTGCAGTCCAGGCCCGGACGAAACAGGATAGGCCATGGCACAGAGATTCAAAGTCACATCATCCATGTACCACCCAATACCTCCATATGAACTCCATAGCGGCCCTGTGCCACTGGCGTGCGCTGACGGTTGGCAGTATTACAGGGTGAGATCAACCAAATACGTACAGTGCACTGCGGCGGTGGCGAGTATGTGTGACATATGTTGCGCTTTTATATGATCCAACTTTCTTTCTCTATGTATTAGCCGTGTAGGTAATCTAAATAAACAAAACAATGTGAGTGTACGTGCATGTTTTAATGAAAAGATTCCTGTATCGGAATATCCGCGGCGTGAGGCGAATGAAGGGCCACGACAATGCCATTCGCGGAGTGATTGAGGTGTGCGTGCAACACGTTCTGGAGGGAGACCTTCTCTATCGACGGCGTCACGCGATTGCAGCGCAATTGGATGATCACGATGTTACAATGCGCGGGGTGGTTGAGTTTTGCACGCGACACAATTGGGGCATAGGCCTCCCTCCCTGCCATGCCCAGCTGTGATTGAAGGGCGCGGTGCAGATGTTACTTGCACAGCATATGTTTAAACACATGTCAGGACATGGTACGCGAACTCTGCCATTTCGGGATGTACCACTGTTTAATGGCCTTTGCGATTTGGGTAACCTGCAATTTCCACACCCGTTGAACAACCCGTGCTGTACGCCCTCACCGTAATTTCTGTCATTCGAAATTGGGCATTTCAAACTCACACTCGAGACTTGCGTTTCCACTTTACCATGCTCTCAACTGCACGTAGTTTGGCACGCGACATTCCGTTGTACGACTGCTCAGTACAGCGTAATTCACTCCTACATTACGTTACAATAATATTCCTCTCAACGCGATTATTAGTTGCTGCGCGGGGGCTCGGCAAGCGTGGCTGCATCTATTCATATTTTTTATGATGGACGTCGGGAATGCACCAAGGACGGCTCCCGGTAGGCCGTTGAGCTCGCGCATTGCTGCCCGGGTAGAGCAAGCACGCCTGGCGGAAGAAATGGCAGCCAACCACGTCGCGGAGGGAGGACCCGCTCAGCCACCGCCCCCCCTCGGAACGAACAGCTGGTACGTTGGTGCACTCAGATAGTCGCGGTCCTACATTCGCAAGCTGCAAATAGCACCGACGTAGATGATCGGCGGTGAGAAAACGAACACCTACGATGACGGGAAGGAACAGTCGAACGGGGGAGAAGAGGGCACCGGGTACGAAGGCGAGCAGGAGATAGAGCAGATGGGTGCGGCGACCTGCATGCCACTCGCGCGCGTTGCTGGTCGCCGCTACACAGGTATTCAGCCGACGAGTGCAACAGGGGAAGCGAATGTGATAGTGAAGAGAGAGAGAGGCGCGCACGTCATGGAGCCTTCTTTGACGCGTCTAGAAAAGACTTGCTAAGATGCAGGTGCTAGTACCGTAGTGAGTCTATGACGTCAAAATCCTAGGACTGTCTCTCATCGTCAGCGAGCCTGCTTGTTTTCAACGCGGCCTAATCCAGCAATCCTTCGATGTATTAACCCCTGCACGTCGCGTTCTCGTGCAGGTAAGCGGAGGACAGCCGCCATCAGCGCTTTGTACGACTCGGCACCACCTGCAGCTCCCCCCACGACATCCACAGTTCGCACGGGTGCCGCGCCTCAAATGCCTGCCACCGATGAAGCCGCACTAGGTCCGACGAACGGTTTTCGTGGCGCGGCGTCGTCCCAGTCTCGCGCCTCTAGTAGTGCCGCGACGGTCTTGGTACACGGAGCTGCAGGTTCCTCTCTCCCCTCTCAGCAGCTCCTGCACGCCTCCTCCGCTCCCCCTCAGCAGCACCTGCCCGCCTCCTCTCCTCCCCCTCTGCAGCATATGAACGCATCCTCTCTCCGCCCCTCAGCAGCACCTGCACGTCTCCTCTGCTCCCCATCAGCAGCAGCTGCACGCCTCCTCTCCTCCCCCTCAGCAGCATCCGAACGCACCCTCTCCCCCCCCTCAGCAGCACCTGCACGCATCCTCTCTCCCCTCTCAGCAGCAACTGCACGCCTCCTCCGCTCCCCCTCAGCAGCTTTCGTTGAACGCCTCCTCTGCTCCCCCTCAGCAGCATATGCCCGCCTCCTCTCATCCCCCTCAGCAGCAGCTCCACGCCTCCTCTCCTCCCCCTCAGCAGCGTCCGAACGCACCCCCTCGCCCCCCCTCAGCAGCACCTGCACGCCTCCTCTCTCCCCTCTCAGCAGCAACTGCACGCCTCCTCCGCTCCCCCCTCAGCAGCTTTCATTGAACGCCTCCTCTGCTCCCCCTTCAGCAGCACATGCCCGCCTCCTCTCCTCCCCCTCAGCAGCAGCTGCACGCCTCCTCTCCTCCCCCTCAGCAGCACCTGCACGCCTCCTCCACTCCCCTCATCAGCAGCTGAACGCATCCTCCCTCCCCCCTCAGCAGCACCTGCATGTCTCCTCTGCTCCCCCTCAGCAGCACCTGCACAACTCCTCTGCTCCCCCTCAGCAGCACATGCTCGCCTCCTCTGCTCCCCCTCAGCAGCACCTGCACACCTCCTCTGCTCCCCGCAGCAGCAAACTGCACGCCTCCTCTCCTTCCCCCTCAGCAGCATCCGAACGCATCCTCTCCCCCCTCAGCAGCACCTGCACGCCTCCTCTCTCCCCTCTCAGCAGGAACTGCATGCCTCCTCCGCTCCCTCTCAGCAGCTTTCATTGAACGCCTCCTATGCTCCCCCTCAACAGCACCTGCCCGCCTCCTCTCATCCCCTTGAGCAGCATGATGAATGCATCTTCTCTACCCCCTCAGCAGCACCCGCACGCCTCCTCTGCTTCCCCCTCAGCACCACCTGCCGCCTCCTCTCATCCCCTCAGCACAATGCGAACGCATCCTCTCTCCCCCCTCAGCAGCACCTGCACACCTCCTCTGCTCCCCCTCAGCAGCATCTGCACGCCTCCTCTGCTTCCCCTCAGCAGCACCTGCACGCCTCCTCCACTCCCCCTCATCAGCAGCTGAACGCATCCGCCCTCCCCCCTCAGCAGCACCTGCATGTTCTCCTCTGCTCCCCCTCAGCAGCACCTGCACAACTCCTCTGCTCCCCCTCAGCAGCACCTGCTCGCCTCCTCTGCTCCCCCTCAGCAGCACCTGCACACCTCCTCTGCTCCCGCAGCAGCAACTGCACGCCTCCTCTCCTCCCCCTCAGCAGCATCCGAACGCATCCTCTCCCCCCCCAGCAGCACCTGCACACCTCCTCTGCTCCCCCTCAGCAGCATCTGCACGCTTGCTCTGCTTCCCCTCAGCAGCACCTGCACGCCTCCTCCACTCCCCTCATCAGCAGCTGAACGCATCCTCCCTCCCCTCAGCAGCACCTGCATGTCTCCTCTGCTTCCCCTCAGCAGCACCTGCACAACTCCTCTGCTCCCCTCAGCAGCACCTGCTCGCCTCCTCTGCTCCCCCAGCAGCACCTGCACACCTCCTCTGCTCCCCCGCAGCAGCAACTGCACGCCTCCTCTCCCCCCTCAGCAGCATCCGAACGCCTCCTCTCCCCCCCCTCAGCAGCCTGCACGCCTCCTCTCTCCCCTCTCAGCAGGAACTGCATGCCTCCTCCGCTCCCTCTCAGCAGCTTTCTTTGAACGCCTCCTCTGCTCCCCCTGAACAGCACCTGCCCGCCTCCTCTCATCCCTTGAGCAGCATATGAATGCATCTTCTCTCCCCCTCAGCAGCAACCGCACGCCTCCTCTGCTCCCCCTCAGCAGCACCTGCACACCTCCTTTTCTCCCCCTCAACAGCACCTGCATGCCTCCTCTGCTCCCCTGCAGCAGCACCTGCCCGCCTCCTCTATTCCCCATCAGCAGCATATGAATGCATCCTCTCTCCCCCCCAGCCGCACCTGGCCGCCTCTTCTTCTCCCCCTCAGCATCACCTGCACACCCCCTCTGCTCACACTCTGGAGCACCTGGACGCCTCTTCTGCTCCACCTCACCTGCACTCGTATGATTTCTCCCCTAATCCACAGCTGCATTTCACTACATTATCCTCTAACCCTCCACAGCACCATAACGCCAATTCTCACATCCCACAACTGCACCTCACGTGCCTTTGCCTCACCCCCACTCCATGGCTCCCCACCCTAACGTGCACACAAACGCCTCTCGTCCCTATCAACACCGGGATCGTAGCGCCTCTACTCCCTTCAGTCACCCCCCCATGAACGCGTCTTCCCACCTGTTCCGCCTGGGGGCGCCACATCTCCAAACAATCAGCAGCCGCGTGATGTGTCAAGACGCTTTGTGTCTCAATGCCATGGTAAGTGCCAGCACCCAGACTTGTCACGCTCTCTTGCCCTTTCCGGGCGGGTATTTCTTGGTGCGCGTCTGAGTTTTTTCTCCTCGCAGTGACCTTTTATACGGGCTATACTCTGTTTCGGCATCCATTCTTGTTTTCTATGCTGTTTGCGTCCATGCCATACACCTCCCTTGTTTCATGTTTCATTGCCAGTTATATAGGTTCACCCGCCATTATGTCCCCGGCTGCAGGATTGACTACTGGCGGCCAGCCCTCCCCAACAGGTGTCCTTGCTTTCGACTCAGTGGTGCTGGAGGAGACACATGAGTACTCGGTCAACGAAGGGGGCGATCTCATCTTCAACACCGAACCGGAGCATGACTACGGCGTTGTTGGGAACGGCGCATCGACGGAGCTGGAGCGCCAGCAGCAGGCACACCGGGAGCTCCAGCGCTGCTTGAAGGAGATCGAGAATGAGAACCGATCGCTCCGCCAGCGTCCACCCAGCTCCGCGAGGGGCACGGCAGAGGTTTGGACCCAAGTGGCGCCCAGCTTTGGCCAGCTGGCATGGCTGAACCCCAAGACATTCATCAAGGCCTTGTCACGCCAACCGCGGTACGTCTCCTATGTTAGATTCAGCCCGCATACTCCCCTTCCCTATCCGCCCCCCAAAACCTTCCCTCACCTTCTACCTTTGTTGCTAACTACGCGTTTGGCGTTTGAACGCAAGCATTTCAACGATTGCGTTTGAATGCTACACGCTTGGCTGTGTGCATGTGAACACTACACAAACGTTTGCCAATGCTGCGGTAAAATTTATAACGCAAGCGTTTGTACTAACTATGGCCCTACCAACACTCAACCCCGATGTTCCCTTGTTCTCAGATGCAGCATCGTGCGTCTTTGTGCCCCCTCACCCTCCACCTTCCCACCTACTCTCCTTCCCTTGCAACCCCGTTCCTGCGCTCAGCCCCTTCCAGCCCCCCCACCCGGCCCCCCACCCCAACCCCTCCCCCCACTCTTCCGCCCCCATTCCCCCAAGGCGCCCGTTCCCATGTCGGGCCGGCCATGGTGCTTACAAGAGTGCAGATCTCCACCTTCCCACCTACTCTCCCTTCCCTTGCCTTCCTGCGCTCAGCCCGTACCTTCCACGTGCTATGCCAAACATTGGGTGGGTCTTCTTACAATACATTCACGTTTCAACCTCCCCCCCTTCCGGCCCCCCACCCGCCCCCCCCCCACCCCCACTCTTCCGCCCCCATTCCCCAAGGCGCCCGTTCCCCACGTCGGGCCGGCCATGGTGCTTACAAGAGGGCAGATCTCCACCTTCCCACCTACTCTCCCTTCCCTTGCCACCCCGTTCCTGCGCTCAGCCCGTACCTTCCACGTGCTATGCAAACATTGTGTGGGTCTTCTTACAATACATTCACGTTTCAACCTCCCCCCCCCCCCCGCCCGCCCTCCCACCCCCCACTCTTCCGCCCCCATTTCCCCAAGGCGCCCGTTCCCCATGTCGGGCCGGCCATGCTGCTTACAAGAGGGCAGATCTCCACCTTCCCACCTGCTCTCCCTTCCCTTGCCACCCTGTTCCTGCGCTCAGCCCGTACCTTCCACGTGCTATGCCAAACATTGGGTGGGTCTTCTTACAATACATTCACGTTTCAACCTCCCCCCCCCCCCCCCCCCCGCCCTCCCCACCCCCACTCTTCCGCCCCATTCCCCAAGGTGCCCGTTCCCCACGTCGGGCCGGCCATGGTGCTTACAAGAGCGCAGATCTCCACCTTCCCACCTACTCTCCTTCCTTGCCACCCCGTTCTGCGCTCAGCCCGTACGTTCCACGTGCTATGCCAAACATTGGGTGGGTCTTCTTACAATACATTCACGTTTCAACCTCCCCCCTTCCGGCCCCCCACCCGGCCCCCCCACCCCCCACCCCCCTCTTCCGCCCCATTCCCCAAGGCGCCCGTTCCCATGTCGGGCCGGCCATGGTGCTTACAAGAGGGCAGATCTCCACCTTCCCACCTACTCTCCCTTCCCTTACCACCCCGTTCCTACGCTCAGCCCGTACCTTCCACGTGCTATGCCAAACATTGGGTGGGTCTTCTTACAATACATTCACGTTTCAACCTTCCCCACCCCCCCCTGCCCTCCCACCCCCACTCTTCCGCCCCATTCCCCCAAGGCGCCCGTTCCCCGTCGGGCCGGCCATGTGCTTACAAGAGGGCAGATCTCCACCTTCCCACCTACTCTCCCTTCCCTTGCCACCCCGTTCCTGCGCTCAGCCCGTACCTTCCACGTGCTATGCCAAACATTGGGTGGGTCTTCTTACAATACATTCATGTTTCAACCTCCCCCCCCCCCCCCCCCGCCCCCCACCCCCACTCTTCCGCCCCCATTCCCCCAAGGTGCCCGTTCCCCACGTCGGGCCGGCCATGGTGCTTACAAGAGGGCAGATCTCCACCTTCCCACCTACTCTCCCTTCCCTTGCCACCCCGTTCCTGCGCTCAGCCCGTACCTTCCACGTGCTATGCCAAACATTGGGTGGGTCTTCTTACAATACATTCACGTTTCAACCTCCCCCCCTTCCGGCCCCCCCGCCTGGCCCCCCGACCCCCACCCCCACTCTTCCGCCCCCATTCCCCCAAGGCGCCCGTTCCCCATGTCGGGCCGGCCATGGTGCTTACAAGAGGGCAGATCTCCACCTTCCCACCTACTCTCCCTTCCCTTACCACCCCGTTCCTGCGCTCAGCCCGTACCTTCCACGTGCTATGCCAAACATTGGGTGGGTCTTCTTACAATACATTCACGTTTCAACCTTCCCACCCCCCCCCCCCCGCCCTCCCCACCCCCCACTCTTCCGCCCCCATTCCCCCAAGGCGCCGTTCCCCACGTCGGGCCGGCCATGGTGCTTACAAGAGGGCAGATCTCCACCTTCCCACCTACTCTCCCTTCCCTTGCCACCCCGTTCCTGCGCTCAGCCCGTACCTTCCACGTGCTATGCCAAACATTGGGTGGGTCTTCTTACAATACATTCACGTTTCAACCTCCCCCCCCTTCCGGCCCCCCCGCCCGGCCCCGACCCCCCACCCCCACTCTTCCGCCCCCATTCCCCAAGGCGCCCGTTCCCCATGTCGGGCCGGCCATGGTGCTTACAAGAGGGCAGATCTCCACCTTCCCACCTACTCTCCCTTCCCTTGCCACCCCGTTCCTGCGCTCAGCCCGTACCTTCCACGTGCTATGCCAAACATTGGGTGGGTCTTCTTACAATACATTCACGTTTCAACCTCCCCCCCCCCCCCCCCCCCCCGCCCTCCCACCCCACATTCTTCCGCCCCCATTCCCCCAAGGCGCCCGTTCCCCACGTCGGGCCGGCCATGGTGCTTACAAGAGGGCAGATCTCCACCTTCCCACCTACTCTCCCTTCCCTTGCCACCCCGTTCCTGCGCTCAGCCCGTACCTTCCACGTGCTATGCCAAACATTGGGTGGGTCTTCTTACAATACATTCACGTTTCAACCTCCCCCCCCCCCCCCCCCGCCCTCCCCACCCCCACTCTTCCGCCCCCATTCCCCCAAGGCGCCCGTTCCCCACGTCGGGCCGGCCATGGTGCTTACAAGAGGGCAGATCTCCACCTTCCCACCTACTCTCCCTTCCCTTGCCACCCCGTTCCTGCGCTCAGCCCGTACCTTCCACGTGCTATGCCAAACATTGGGTGGGTCTTCTAACAATAGATTCATGTTTCAGCCTCCCCCCCTTCCGGCCCCCCCACCCGGCCCCCCCACCCCCCACTCTTCCGCCCCCATTCCCCCAAGCGCCCCGTTCCCAATGTCGGGCCGGCCTAAAGCTTACAAGAGGGCAGATCTCCACCTTCCCACCTACTCTCCCTTCCCTTACCACCCCGTTCCTGCGCTCAGCCCGTACCTTCCACGTGCTATGCCAAACATTGGGTGGGTCTTCTTACAATACATTCACGTTTCAACCTCCCCCCCCCCCCCCCCCCGCCCCCCACCCCCCACTCCTCCGCCCCCATTCCCCCAAGGCGCCCGTTCCCCATGTCGGGCCGGCCATGGTGCTTACAAGAGGGCAGATCGCGGACTGTCTTGGCCTGGCATACGACTCTGGTGCACAGCTCCCTCTTGGGGGATTGTAGCCGCCCAAGATGAAGAATGGGTCCAAACCCTGGACCGTGCTATGAAGGCAATCCCAACGAAAACCAATGGCCTCCGCGTATGCTCTCACCTCACATTTGACACATGCCTACCTAAATCCTCATGGGTGACATGTTTGTAGTTTTTTGTTACTGGTCATTTGTATAGATGAGCATTTGCTGTGCATCAGCTTCTCCAATGCCACCTCATTAGTTTCCTCAATCCCCATCCCATTCGTTCCACCTCTGTTTCCAACCACCCCTCACATTCCTCCTTAGACCAAGATGGGACGGACCGTCGACATCATGATATTCGAGAGAGCGGATGCCGACGTGAACTTCTACCCCTCAAGGAAGGGTTTTCTGCAGGACTTTGGGCGCGCGATGAATTTCAAGTACCAATGGCAGCACGACCAACTCCAGCTGGTTTACGACGTCGACACCCGCAGGTCGGGATACATGCGGAAGTTCCTGCAGGACTTTCGCAACGATCTGCTCACAAACGGGAGGAAGACTGTGGCCCAATTCTTCAACCTCGACACCCTTCTTGGTAACCGTCCGTCACCTAAGAGGGAGGGGAAGATGGACAGGCGTGTCTGGCGTGACACTTACAAAGCAGGTGTGCCCTCTCTTTTCCCTTGTCCCATGGCCTCCAAATCCATGCCATGGCCTTCCATCTATTTGACCATATTTTGCTATCTTTTCTGTCCCCTAGCCTCCATCCCCCCACTTTCTACCATTGCATCTGACCCCCCCCAGCATTTTTTTACTATGCTTTTATCCACATCGGCATCCTCGAGCCGTTGTGTTCTTTGCCGCATTTTCCTTGACATTTCGTTACACGCTACCCGTGCAACATTCCCCCTTCTTGGTTTTGCATCCTAATGGCGTATTTAGGTCCTCCTAAACCCAGCCGCACCATCCCACTT